AATGTGTTATTTATAAATGTGTATAGTCCTAGGTATTCTGCTATCACTGCACAAAACATACTAAGACAGCTTCTTACGATTATCTTATAAAGGAATGGAGATGCCGATGCTGAAAAACAGGACAACTGTGTGGATCACTGACAGACATGCCTGAAGGTTATGGGACTAGAAGGTTAATTTGTAGTGAAGACTCAACCCCCATGCCATGGAATGCTGCTCAACGTTTCATCAAGAGCAGTCATGCATCTAAACACCAAGTATATAATAACACAGTCTGGAAGGACAACAATACATTAGATCAGTACTTTCCAAGGTGTTACAAAGAACTTAATACATGTTGTTTAAAGAAAGTAGATTGGTGGGGCTGTGGCTGTAGTTCACTAGTAGAGCGCTTGCCTAGCACATCAATCCTCAGCACCACATAAAAAACAAATAAAAAATAAAGATAAAAAAAGAAAGAAAGTAGATTGGTGCTTGCCAAGGGATGGAGGGAGAAGGAACTAGGTGTATTAAAAGGTCCTTTTTGGGTGGTTGAAATGTACCGGAATTAAAGAGTGGGAATGGCTGCAGAACATTGTGAATATAGCAACACCCATGACCTTGTACACTTTAAAATTAAGTTTATATTAATTATATCCTAATATTTAAAAGGAAAAAAATTTGAATTAAAAAAAAGTTGGCTAATCAATATTAAATGAGCTTAATGTTAAGCAATTATAAGTCTAGATATATTCTGTATTGCCTAAGAAGAGTTCAAGTTTATACCTACTATCTGTTTCAGTATTAACAGCATACCACTTCAACCCAAAACCATCCTAACTTGAACAATAAATCATAAGATCACCCTAACTATGTACACCCAGTATTGAAGAACAGACAGGAGAGAGTTTCTAAAATATATCTGACCACAGCTATGGACCCACAAAACACTTGAAATGCAACATTAGAAGGCAGAATAAAGATGGAAAATCATGAAAATCCATTATATCCAATTTTAATTGGGGAAACTAGAAGTAATCACCATAAACAGAGAATGTGAGTTCGAAATTATATTATTGGCTGAGAATTTTTATAATCATACACTGTGACATTGCTTTTATTTAACAGGCACGTGTGAATAGTATTATTTATTAAATGAATAATAAACCAAAGACTGGAAATCAAATAGAGATAAAATATAAGGCCTGCGTATCACTCTTAAAAACCTAAAGAAGTGCAATCCATGAAGGATAACATAGATTGAGGGGCCTCTTAACAATAAGCATAATAATCAATAATGTGTTATAACTATCAATTTAATAAACAATGTAGTATGCAGAATGAGAATGATGATTCCCATACATTGAGTGATGTACACCCATAATCCCAGCAGCTCAGGAGGCTGAGGCAGGAGGATCACAAGTTCAAAGCCAGTCTCAGCAACTTAGCGAGGCCCTAAGCTACTGAAGTGAGACCCTGTCTCTAAATAAAAACATTTAAAAGGGCTAGAGTGCTTAAGCACCCCTCAGTTCAATCCCTAATACAAAAAAAGAAAAAGATTACCATCCTAGTGATCACCAATTGGGTGAGAGTGATACAGTGGAAAGAGCACTAGCTGCTTTGCAGTTACTGTTAGAATCATATCATGGTCCCAGCATTAACAGCTCTGTGACTACAGGAAAACCACTGACCCTCTCTGAACCTCACCTGTCTCATCTATAAAATGGAGTAGTAACACCTACACTGCTGGACCACAGCCACAAGTGAATGAAAGAACATCTACAAAAGGCCTGACAAACGCACAGGAAGTGCTAAAGGAATCGTTAGCTGCTATTGTTACTGCTTTTAGCACTAGTTTCTTATACTCTTGTATAATAATGATTTCAGAATCATCAGAAAAAAACTAGCAGAGTATAAAATGAACACCATCCTTACCTGTCTGCTACACTCCCTGGGTGTACTTCCTTCACAAAGATATCAACTTCTCCCTGATTTTGACTTTTAAGGGCCACCACGCTGAATCCAAGGCCTCCAGTTGAAGGCCGTTCTATATCTATATATTCAATTTCCCGGCCCTAATGAAGGGGGATAAAAGAAAAATATAAATGTCAATGAATCTACATTTAACCAATGCACCCTTTCCACAGAACTGAAATTGCTTAGCAGAAAAATAGCTTCTCTAAGACATCTCTACAAAACCAAATAAACTCAAAATAACTCAGCATTTCAGTAATACATTATTCCAGGAACTCTGTAACTTGATTATTTTCAGTAGAACACAAAAGAGAGTGTGCAGCACTGTAACCTTTGGGAATTGAAGAGGTATTTTCACACTTCATTCACATTTCGCGATGAATCCCAAGCTGGATGAGAATGCCTAAGAAAAATGCTCTTTCCCACAGTAAATTCTAAATTACTTTTTTATATTGAATTTCCCTAAATTCTCTTGATGCAAAATACAATTTTTTTAATGAGGAAAAGTATATTGGATATATCAAAAATACACTAGTATTAAGCCTACACAGAACCAGCAACTCTTTAGGGTTCTGTTTTTAATTCTATAGTGATGAATTACTATTCCATTTATTCAATCAATTCAAAAGACTATGGAAAGGCCACCATTCAAATTGGTTCTACCTGTGACATGTAGGTATTTGATTACTTTAGTTAATAATTGCTTTTATGTGAATTTATAAATGTAATCAACTAACAAGATCATCACATGAAGGGACCAGAACTATTAAGCAAAAAAAAGTAGTCCAGAACACTAGTTAAATATCACATCTTAAACAGATTCTTTTTAATTTTCAAACACAAGTTTCATTTTTAAAGACTGCTGAACAAACACAAAACATATTCAAAAGTTTGACTATTATTTAATTTTTAAGTTAGCAGAAGCTACAACTGTCAATTTTCCCCCCAATTTTCTAAATTGTATTTGTTCCAACTCCCACTAATTCTGTTTTGATATAAAACTTAAAACTGTTTCAATGTTTCATCTTGTGATCAAAACCAGTAAGAATCTTCTTCCTGCTGGATACAGTGGCACACGCCTATAATACCAGAGACTCAGAAGGCAGAGACAGGAGGATCACAAGCTCAAGGCCAACCTGGGCCACTTTGCAAGACAATATAAAAGTAAAAAAGGCTGGGGATGGAGTTCAGTAGTAAAAGTACCCCTGGGTTCAATCCCCAGTATCAAAAAATAAATACGTCTCCTTCCTTATAAGAATAGAGATGTGTTCAATTGAAGTCTTCCTAAAAGTTCTCCTCCCTCACATGGACATTTTCTTGTGTGATTTTAAGATAATAAAATTCCAACTCACAGGTTAGAAAAGGGTGCCAATTCCTCCTTTCAACATAAAAACAAAAGCAAATACATAACACATGTTAAGACAAAAAGAATGGGTTTCTTTTTAAACCTGAAACAGAAAGGATAAAGCTAAATATTCCCATGACAAGGTATAACTTTACCTGAGCCATCTGTTGAATGATTGAGTTAAAGTCTTCATTTCCCAACTTTGAGGTCCACGGAAACAACCCAGATGCAGTTAAATTATTACAGGGCCTGTGGGCATTCCCACTTGTAATAGAACTATCCGTGAACACTAACAAACCTTTTCTAGAAAAATCAAAGTTGGCTGAACAATCCGAGGGTATATGGCTGAGCTGGTGGAGAGAAAAACAAGAGAACCATCAAAGAAACCTTCAAAAAAGAAATCATTTCTATTTATGACATATTCTCTTTTGCTCATTATGGGTATAATTTGTATGTTAAAAAACACGTATGAAAGAAATAAGGTGCATCAAACGAATCTGTGTGCTCATAAGGCTAAAATTTCTAAATTTAATATTACACAAAAATGTCAAATACCTTAAAATCTGTTCTTGTTTCCTGCCTTCTATGACTACCCCAAGTTCATAGAATATACACTAACATCTCATTACCCTTCACACACACAGATGCAATCCGTAGCATAAGTGCAAGACACTAAGCCCTATGGCATTTATCTGTACAATTCGACATGCAATGCCACAAAAAAAAATCCATAGATAGTATACATCAATAACAACAACAGTACTTTCTGAATACTTACTAAGGGCTAAGTATTGTATCGAGACTCTGGCATGTTATAACCTCATTTAATCCTGACAATAGTTCTATGAAATATCATCTCATTTTCATGAACATGAAAAATGAGGCACTCAGGGGTTAAGAAACTGACACAAGATTAATAGCGAGTGAGTCACAGAGCCACTTAAACATTAATAGAAAAGAATCCTATAATGACAAAAAAACAGGATTTTAAAAATATCACTGGCTGATACAGCTGTCAACATAATGGAATAAAGGTAACATTTTACCTTTATTCCATTATGTTGACAGCTGTATCAAGCCCAGAGCAGTGGTGCACCCCTATAATCCCAGCTACTCAAGAAGCTGAGGCAAGAAGGTGCCAATTTCAAGACCAGTCTTAGCAACTCATGAGACTCTGCCTTAAAATAAAGAATTCAAAGGACTGGGATATAGCTCATTGGTAAATTGCCCCTGGGTTCATCCCCACTACTAAATAGAAAAAAAAAAAAAAGAAGAAGAAGAAATGTCAAGAGGCTTGGGATATATAGCTCAGTGGTAGAGCACATGCTTAGCATTTGCAAGGTCCTGGGTTCAATCACCAACTCCAAAAGAAAAAAAATTAAGTTAACCACCATTTTATAATTTTGAAGAAAATGTTCAGAATTCACTAATCTAACCTTTATATGTTTACAAAACCCATATTCCAAAGCTCAACATAAAATTTATTATCAACACCGTTTTTAGTTTTTATCTTATTGATTGATTGACTGATTGATTGGTACTGAGGATTAAACCCAGGGGCACTTGATAACTAAGCACATTCCCAGCCCTTTTTATATTTTTGAGATGGGTCTTGCTAAGTTGCTGAGACTGGCTTTGAACTTGCGATTTTCCTGCCTCAGCCTCCCGGGATGCTGGGATTATAGGCCATGAGCTACCACACCCGCTTGATTATCAACATTTTAAAACTAACTATGCTATTGCTACCCACAGGCTGCAGGCCCATGTCTGGTCTTTGCTGAGACAAGATTGTCACAGACAGCTTGTCCTTGATAGTCTCCTCCTGTCTTTTCTCACTGGTTTTACACATCAACACAGAGCTCTTCCATGCTAACTTACTTGCCCCTTCAGTTGCTTGATAGACTGCTGCAGTGTGAGTATCTGGTTGAAGAGAGGACTCCTTAGTGTCTCATAAAACATACTCAGTTTCTCATTCTGTGAAGTGTCACCCTTATCCTGCAATTTCATTTTCAGGCGATCAAGGACCTGCAGGACCTGCAGTTTATCTTGGTTGAAGAAGAATAATCAGAAGACAGGTTAAATACTATCTCATATTCCATTTATGAATCAGTCATTAATTTCATAACAAAACTATATATCTAGTATACCTGTGGCAGGATTTTCAGGCATTTTGGATTAATTGTTTCAATCACCTTTAAAGAAACCTAAAAGAAAAAAAATTAAATACAAAGATGAATTCCATTAGTAAATATGTCTATAGTCCTGCAGAAAAATTAAAGAAAACTTTAAAAACATTCACCAAAAGGCCCTGTGAAATTTAAATTAAAACCATAGTGAGGTACCACTACCTGTCCACTCAAATGGCTTAATTTTAAAAACCAAAAAAAGAGACAATACCAAGTGTTGACAAAACTGCAAAGCAACTAAAATTATATTTTGCTAATTAAGGGATGTAAAATGGCACAATCACTTTGGAAAATTATTTGGTAGTTTTTTTCTTTAAATGTACAGAAAAATAATTTCTTATAAAGTTAAAAATACACTGGTACTCCCATTCATAAATATCTACCCAAATAAAATATATGTCCACAAAAAGACTTGTACATCAAAGTTCATAGCAGTTTTATTTATAAAGGCCCCAAACTAGAATACCCAAATTTCTAATAACAAATGGATAAATAAATAAGAGTATATAAATAATTCAGAAACAAAAAGGAAAAATAGAAAACAGGAGTCTTCATAAGGAAATAAAAACCCAAAGAAGCAGTTAACCCTGAGCATTTTAATACTAGTTTTGATAAAGAGAATTTCAGAAAAATGTGATAGGGCAACAGGGGTCTGAGCTCAGAGGAAACTAGGGAAGACTTAGGCCTGTGTACTGAGCTTTCTCGATGTGCCCATCTTTGGAGATAAAGATGCTTTTGTCCTCTGGGCAGAGGAAGGACACCACCACCTTTCAGGTGAGGAGCTTTTGACCTGCTTCCGAGGAAGTCTTTCCTGCATCTGTTATTTCTCACATTGCTTCAGCTGATGATCATCAACACACCAAAGCATGGTATTTAGGGGTAACATGTTCTGAACCCCATTACTAGTCAACACTCTTCCACACTGCTCCAGTAAACAAATCTATAGTTATGGTTAGTCTGTGAGTTATCCAGCTTCTCATGAATGGAGTCATTACAGTTTGTCTGGTTTTCGACAGTTTTCTTCCCTCCCCCTACAGGGCTGGGAATAGGACCCAGGCCCTTGTGCATGCCAAGCATGTGCCGGCCACGCAGCTATAATCCTAAGTCCCCAGCATACTATTTTTGGGATTCAAACTTATTATATATTTTTCTACAACTCTACTCTTCATCAAAACTAGTATTAAAATGTTGAGGTTTAACTGCTTCTTTGGGTTTCATTTCCTCATGAAGACTCCTGTTTCACATAAAACTTATATTAAACAAATGTGATTTTTTATTTTTTTTTTTAATATGGAACACTTCACAAATTTGTGTCATCTTTGCACAGAGGCCATGCCAATCCTCTCTGTATTGTTCCGACTCCAGTATATGTGCTGCTGAAAAGAGGTACTGGGGTTGGGGGACAAGGTCTCTGTTGCCCAGGTTGATCCTGGGCTTAAGGGATCTGCCTCAGACTCCCAAGCAGCTGGGACCACAGCTGTGCACCACACCTGGTTTATTTCTAATTCATTATAACAGTGGCCCTACCTGAGAACATAGAAGGGTAGAAGGAAAGATATTTGTCCTCCCCTACATTGGGATAGGATTCAAAGGAGGTTTTAGGTAAAAAGGAAATGCTCTATGGTTTGATTGGGATACTTTTTATACAGATGTATACATTTATAAAAATTCATTAAAGGGTATACATTATTGTATGTAAATTTTACTTTTTTTTTTTTTAAAGGAAGCTGAGTTGGAAAAGAACATTTGAAATAAGGCACAGTGGCACCATCTGCCATAAAGCTACACAGGAGGCTAAGTCAGGATGATCACAAGTTCAAAGCCATCCTAAGTAATTTGGCAACATGTTGTCCCAAAATTTTAAAAATTAAAAAAAAAACAAAAAACAAAAAAAAAGTGAGGATGTAGTTAAATAGTAGACCACTTGCCAGGCACAGTGGCACATGCTTGTAAACCCAGAGGCTCAGGAGGCTGAGGCAGGAAGATTTCAAATTCAAAGCCAGCCTCAGCAACAGCGAAACGCTAAGCAGCTCAGTGAGACCCTGTCTCTACATAAAATACAAAATAGGGCTGGGGATGTGGCTCAGTGATTGAGTGCCCTTGGATTCAATTCCCAGTACCAAAAAAAAAAAGTAGCATGTGCAAGGTCCTGGGTTCAATTCCCAGTATCAGCTGGGTATGGTGGTACACACCTGTAATCCCAGTGACTTGGGAGGCTGAGGTGGGAGGATCACAAGTTTGAGGCCAGCTCCACAAGTTAGTGAAGCCCTGAGCAACTTAGTAAGACCCTGTCTCAAAATAAAAAATAAAAAGGATGAGGGATGTGGCTTAGTGATTAAGCACCACTAGGTTCAATCCCTAATACATAATAATAACAACAACAATAAATAAATCCCAGTACAATAATAATAAAGTGTTAAATTTTAGAGATTAAAAAAAGTATCCTAGACTCGTACTAGTCATCAGAATTTCCAGAAGGAAGCCACCCAAAACAGCACTTTATGGATGATGATTTTTAATTCCAGTCATTTGCTCAAATTAGCCTAAAATGTAATGTAATCAAGGCTCAAAAGGCTAACAATTCCCTTTGCTATAACCAAAATGACATTTTGTCGCCAATCTTTTTTATTAGTGATACGCTGCTGAAATGAACCAAAGAATGAGTATTATACAATCAAAATTTTCTTACATCAACCTGGATACAATGGTTGAATGAGATCTTATCTTCTAAATTAAGCTCGTTAAGCAAGAAATCATACTAAAAACCATAAGGGGACCCGGGGTTATGGCTCAGTGGTAGAGTGCTTGCCTAGCACACATGAAGCACTGGGTTTGATCCCTGGCACAACGTAAAAATAAAACAAACTAAATAAAAAATATTGTGTCCATCTACAACTAAAAAAAATATTTAAAAAAAAAAAAACAGAAGAGATGTCATCAGCATTGATAAAAGGTCCAAGCAGTCCATCCAAATGCTCACTGGATTCAATGGGAACCTCCAAAAGAAATGCTAAACAGGGCATCTCAAGTTGCTTCTGATGTGCTCTCTGACTCACTCCGGCAACCCTTACAACTACCCCTTGATAGGTGACTGAATAACAGAGGCAGCCAGGATGGCACTATACTTTTCTATAACAGTATACAGCCCAAAAACAGTGACAAGAGCAGCTTGGTGGTAATTAACATATCAACCTCTCTAAAGCAAAGAAAAAAAAACTAAAACATAAAACAGTTAAGATGCCATAAGCTTGACATTTATTAATTTATTAAAGATCAACAATACCCTATGCTCCAGGTATCATGGAAAGAGAGATTGGAGTATAAATCAGCATAATTTTTTAGGAAAAAGATTTAGCAATGTCAATAAATGTATTAACATATATTTAATTTTCATTTCTTTTACCCAGAATGTCTACTTCTGAGTGTCTCTCCTAAAGAAATAATTGCAAACAGACACTCTGTATGGCAAGCATATTTACTGCTTTTTTTTTTTTTTTTTTGGTACTATGGATGGAACCCGGGAGCTTTATCCCTGAGCTACATTCCCAGTCCTTTTTTGGAGACAGGGTCTAAATTGCCCAGGCAGGCCTTGAACTTGGTGTTCTCCTCCCTTAGCCTCCAGAGTTGCTGTGATGACAGGCATGTGGCACCAGCTACTGCACTGGGTTTTTTTGGTTTAAGGATTTTGTTTGTTTGTTTGATTTTTGTTTTTAATATTTTTTTAGTTGTAGATGGACACACTATCTTTATTGTGTGTGTGTGTGTGTGTGTGTGTGTGTGTGTGGTGCTGAGGATCAAACCCAGTGCCCCCCACATGAGAGGCGAGCACTCTACCACTGAGCTACAACCCCAGCCCCTGCATTCTTAACAGCAAAACTTTTGAAAAATTTAAACTATCAGTCATTACAATAATAAAGTATACCAAAAGGGAGTGAAGAGGAAACATTTACAGCCTGCCTATGGCCCACTCTTTCAACTTGAGGGATTCCCCTCAAAACAGATCTCCCAACAAACACACTTAAGGTTGCTGATAGATAACAAAGTCCCTTATTTTAAAATGTCAGGCTATATCTGCTTTTTGTAAATAATCTGAGAATTTATGAATTTATGGGGCATGGCTGGCTGGGAAATGGGATACTCAAACATTTTCTATTTGTGTAACTAAAGGAGTATAGAATTAGAGTCCCAAGACAGAAAAGGCTTCTTAGGAAAAAAATATTTCTGTACAGATCGCTCAGAACTTGCCTGTTAATCCCACCCCACAAAAAAGATGTCTCTGTGTGATCCAAAATCAAAAAAAAATAATTGGTTGGAAGGAGACAAATCCCCCCAACTAATCCATCAGATTTCTTTAAAAAGCCATAGTCATGTGATAATAGGTCATATTTGGTCAGCAGGTGATGACAACTATACCAAAATATATTACTTTACAAATTTCAGTGGTGTGTGTATGTATATACACACATTCACATACATGGCTATAAATAACCCAGTGTAAAGTCTCTAGATGTAGCAGAAAGCCCGGAAAAAGTAACTTAGACCAGCGTTCCAAATACAAACTGCAAATTGATGCTTGGCCCACAAATAAGTACCAAAATTGTAAATAAGCATTTAGAAACCTTCCTGCAAAATGGCACAGTAAAAGATGTCCATTATAGTTAGTAATTTTTTGTAAATGGCACTGTATTTTGTGTATCTTTTTTTATATTTCATTTTTAAAATGATTTCTTCTTAAAAATCAGTCTTTGAGGGGCTGGGGATGTGGCTCAAGCGGTAGCCCGCTCGCCTGGCATGCGTGTGGCCCGAGTTCGATCCTCAGCACCACACACAAACAAAGATGTTGTGTCCGCCAAAAACTGAAAAATAAATATTGAAATTCTCTCTCTCTCCTCTCTCACTCTCTCTTTAAAAAAAAAAAATCAGTCTTTGAAAGATTGAGAAGAGATCATGACCTTTCACCACTGATAGTTTGAGAAACATTGATTTAGATGGACAGCTTTGAGAGAGTCCTTCTAAATAATGCTAAGCCGACTGGTCTTTATCCTGGAGGCAACAGGAAGTAATTAAAGGCTTTTAAGTAAGGAAGTATTCAGTTCAGATTTCTATTTTTAAAAAGTAATTCTGATAATAGTATTGATCAGTGTAGTCTTCTAACTTTTTTAAACACATATTTCCAGAACATTGAAAACATGCTGGGCTAAAAGTGTATATAGCTCAGTGACAAAGTGCTTGCCTAGCATGCACAAAGTGCTGGTTTCATCTCCAGAAAGGGGGCGGGGGGTATATTATTACACACACACACACACACACACACACACACACACATACACATACATACATACCTACACACACACACACACACACACGCCTGGAAAACTACTACAATTCCATGGTTTTAGGTAACAACTAGGGGAGAGGACTAAAGCTCTAAGAATATATGAAAGAAATGCAAGTAATCTCCACAGCTAAACACCCAGAAGGTAGCACTTGGGTTAAATGGATCCTATTTCTCTCTCGTGGTATTATCATAGAAAATCTTTGGCCAAATTTAATATTCTTAATAAGAAACTAGCAGGGCTTATGGAAGGGAATTTAAAGTTTGTTTAAACATTGTAAAGGAGAGTCCAGCAGGTCATCAGTTATCTACAATTGGCAGGAGTTAGACATTAAAACGCCACAGCGTACCACTGTCCCCATAGTCATAACAGCCTTAAAAGAATGAGAGGTTTATCATGCTCAGCAGTTTCCACTCCATCATTGATCAAGAGAGTTCAGGCCATGAATTTTTCATATCTGATTCACCCAAGGATTTGATTGAAGGAAATTCTTATAATATTGTGGCGTTATGAAAAATCCATGTTTTTAGCCAATACCAATTAATGCAATCATTTGCGGGGGGGGAAAGCTGAAAGAGATAGAAATTTAATTTCAATTTCTGCTTGAAAACTCTTTGGAAAGATTTATTAATTCTCCTTAGATCAAGAATTTAGGCAAATTAAGGACCCCAAGAAACACACTTTTCTGACCCCCAGTTACTCACAAAAATGTAACTCCCCACTGATTTAACACGGCATCTGATTTGCTATCTTGAAATTTTAGGAGAAAAGATCCTGGCTACTTCCTTGGGGAAAGTACAGGTATTCAGTCTCTAATGCATGTGTGAATTGGGCAGATCACAATTAGACTACACATGACTCCTAAATGGAAATTTCCCAGAGCTCAATGAATTAGGCATGAATTAGAATCGATGAGCCATTAAGTATAAAGTCATGATTTCAGAAGTCACTCAAAAATTGAAGTCCATGAACAGCTTTAAGTTTCTAACACTTCCCTTGGAGAGTGAAGCTCAGGATTCGTCTAATTGTCATTCCCTGTCCTCAAAGTTCAGCA